TCACCCTAGTTTAGGAAAACTGTAACAAGAAACAGGGCGGGGGTAGAAGAGTAGTGGGAAGAAACGTACAAAGAAGAGCAGTAGTGTACATTGTGCTCTGCCACTCGTTGCACTAGTGATCGAAACAGTGGTTGGGGACGGGGACTACCAGCCAGAAGACCTGCGTTCTATTCCCAACTGTGCCACAAAACCTGCCGCCCTTCCCCGTGCCTCCGTTTCCCCGGGTATAAAACAGGCATATCGAGAGGCACCTACCTCACAGGAATGGGTGTGAGGCTTTACATCGGCAAATGCTGTGAGCCCTTGCAGTGGGGCAAAGGGGTATAATGAAACCAGTCTGCACGACCCCCATCCCCACAGGATGGGTGAGGGATCGTGGCCTCCTGGTTGAAAATCCATGCCACCCTGACCTCATCACCCTATGTCCCTGCCCCAGAGGTCCTGCAGCAAGACAAACTGACAGCTCCAGGATCCTTTTACAGAAAGTTCTTTGCTTCAGCCTCTCCCGCTCCTGCGAATGTTTGGGAGCGTGGCAGGCCGTGCCCACGGTGCAGGGGGAGCTGCGCCTTCTGAACTGGCGTCGGGCACGGGGATCCTTTGGGGGAACCCGGCTGGCCAAGCAGCTACTGAAAGGGGACCGGGGAAGGGTGCTCCGAGGGGAGCAAGCTAGAGAGAAGCAGCAGGGTGCAACTGCCCAGACGCCCGGCTCCTGCCTCGGGGTGTTTGTCTGCCAGGAAAAAGGGGACCAGACGTGCGTGCGCTGAAAGCCAAGAGCAGGGGGATGTGGCTGGAGCCTCTGGATTAGGGAGGATGAATGAAAGAAAGCAACGCCCGCCGCCTTGCTGGAGGAGATTCGGTATTGTGCAGTGTGTTGACATACAAACCCTGCTCCTTGGAGGATACCCACCCACTGCTCCCAGATACTCCAAAACCCCTTCCCTGCTGGTCGCACCAGATTGCGCTTCTGTTAGCTCCCGGCCTGCTCACTGTTCAGACCTGGCCCCGGCCCAGCGGAATACTAATTGGGAGCCTGGCCTTTCCTCGTCGGGCCTGGGTGTGTGGGAGGGCGGGGGAACTGGGGAGGGGGGGCGAGATGGCCTAGCTGGAAGCAGATCCACTAATTCAACAGTAAACTCAGGCTCTCCTTCCACCTCCTCTGCCTAGTAAGCGATTCCTTGTAGTGCATGATGTTGTGTCCAGCAGGAACTGAAGATTCATAAGGATTGGGGGGGAGGGGGAATTGTCAGCAGAGAGGCATCACTTTCCTCCGTCCACCCACCCCTTCCCTAAATTTAAACAGGAAAAGCTTTTAAAACACACCTGCCTGTACGCTTGCAATACCGTTCTTCCCTTTGCCACGGCGCATGCGAGGAGCGGGAAGGGGTTAGTGCAGGGGACTGGATTCAGGATGCCTGGGTTCTACTCCTGCCTTGAGGGGCAACTGATTTCACCTCCCTGAGCTTGCGTCTCTAACTGTAAAACGAGCTTGCGTAATTCCCTGAAGTGGTCTGGAGGTTTGTTAGCAACGAGCTTTGAGATCCTTGCATTGCTCGTATCTACCATCTCACAGACCAAGGCCGCCGTTAGAAAACAAAAGGATTGTAATCAAGATGAAAACACCAGACAGCGTTGCTCCTTACACGGAGGACTGGCGAGGCTGGCTCCGTTAGTCTTAAGCTTCGGGCATGAAATATGTCCGTGGATCAAAGCTCGGCTGTCCCCGTTCAACCTTCTGTGGAAGTCAAATTTAATGTCATGCCGTTTCCCCTGTGCGTGTGTGTGCGTTTCGAGTCTATTGGCTCTGCAGGGCCTGTTCATAAGAAGCTAGGCTTACTCTGATGCCCTTGACCAAAATTTCACACTCTTCACACCTCCCCCTGCCGTTATGTTGGTTGCTGTGTGCCGGTTGGTTGCCACCTGCAAGCATAGAGGTGCCCATTGGGTGAGGCAGGGAGGGATCCTTTGGGGTATAAAATGTAGTTCATCAGTTTCCAGATGAGGAGAGATTAAAAAGACTGGGACTGTTCAGCCTGGAAAAGAGATGATGAAGGGGGCATCCTCTGATAGAGGTCTCTAAAATCACGAGTGACCTGGAGAAAGTGAAAGTAGGTGTTATTTACCCCGTCACATAACACAAGAGCCAGGGATCACCCAAAGACATGAATAGGTAGCAGGTTTAAAACAAACTAAAGGAAGTATTTCTTCACACAATGCACAGTCAACCTGTGGAACTCCTTGCGAGGGGATGTTGTGATGGCCAAAAGGAGAACTGGATTCAAAAAAGGGCTGGATACATTCATGGAGGGTAGGTCCGTCGATAGCTATTAGCCAAGATAGTCAGGGGCACAACCACATGCTCTGGGTGTCCCTAAACTTCTGACTGCCAGGAGTTGGGACTAGACCAGTGGTTTTCAAACTTTTTCTCTGGGGACCCAGTTGAAAAAAATTGTTGATTCCCGTGACCCAACAGAGCTGGGGATGAGGGTTTTGGGGTGCAGGAAGGAGTTCTGGGTTGGGGGGCTCAGAGCTGGAGCAGGGGATTGGGGAGCGGGCTTACCTCGGGCAGCTCCTGGTCAATGGTGCAGTGGGGTGGCTAAGGCAGGCTTCCTGCCTGTCCTGGCACCACAGACCGGGCTGCGCCCCGGAAGCAGCCAGCAGCAGGTCCAGCTCCTAGATGGAGGCATGCAAGCAGTTCCATGCGGCTCTCACCTGCAGGCACCGCCCCCCACCCCAGCTCCCATTGGCCGATTCCTGGCCAATGGGAGTGCGGAGCCGGTGCTCGGGATGGGGGCAGCACGTGGAACCCTGTGGCCTCCCTGCTTAGGAGCCAGATCTGCTGCTGGCCACTTCCGGGGCACAGCGCGGTGTCAGAATGGGTAGGGACTAGCCTGCCTTAGCCGGGCAGCACTACCAATGGGACTTTTAATGGCCCGGTCGGTGGTGCTGACCAGAGCTGCTGCGACCCAGTGCCTTCCATTCCGCGACCCAGTACTGAGGCACGACCCGCCGTTTGAAAACCTCTGGACTAGACGACAGGGGATGGATCACTCAATAATTCCACTGTTCAGTTCATTCCCTCTGAAGCGTCTGGCACCAGCCACTATCAGAGGACAGGATACCGGGCTAGACAGACCATTGGTCTGACCCAGTGTGGCCATTCTTATGTTTTTCACATTCATTTAAAAGTTGAAGGAAAGAAAAGAACTTAATGGAGAATTGATGTCTAAGGCCCTGATCCCACAACTGGATCCTTTTGGGTGGACCCCTTTAGGCCAGCAGATGGACCAATGTTGCAAGACCTGTACCTAAAAGTGCAACTGATTTGATGGAGCTCGGCTGTTCTCAGTGGTGGCAGATGACAGAACAAGGAGCAATGGTCTCAAGTTGCAGTGGGGGAGGTCCAGGTTGGATATCAGGAAAAACTATTTCACTAGGAGGGTGGTGAAACACTGGAATGCGTTACCTAGGGAGGTGGTGGAGTCTCCTTCCTTGGAGGTTTTTAAGGCCCGGCTTGACAAAGCCCTGGCTGGGATGATTTAGCTGAGAATTGGTCCTGCTTTGAGCAGGTGGTTGGACTAGATGACCTCTTGAGGTCCCTTCCAACTCTGATATTCTATGATTCTATGATTCTATGAACCACTTTGTCAAGGATCTGTGGGATCCCTGTCTTATTTTAATCCTCTCCCTAAAATTTGTTAATATCAATTCCTCCCTCCTACTCTGTACATGCTCACAACACACCAGGAAGTGTTACCAGCTCTAACAATCTTATTGCAAGAGTCTTAAGCGATGGTCTAAAACCTGGAGTCCCATGGAGTGAATTTCAGCTGTCTAGGATAGGTGCTGGAACGAGGGTTTCCAGGAGTGCTGCCGGATCCCCTGGCTTGAAGTAGTAATAACAACCCAAATAGATGGTTTCAACCTTCAGCACCCAGCCCCACTATAGAAATTGTTCCCACACCACTGGTTTCTAGTTCTTGTGGTTATGGAGAAAAGCCTGAAAGCATGACCTACGGGCTCAGAAACCAGAAGGCAAAAGAAAAAGAATACAATTGATTTCTCTCTCTCTCTCTCTCTTGAATTTTAAACCAGTCTCGTGATTTTTGGAGGGCCTGACTGAGAGCTCGGAGTTGGTAATATTGTATAACCTCACACACAACTAAGCAGCCTGACCCACAATACACTTGCTTTAACCTTTCTACTCAACACACCTCCTGCTGGCTCATCGCTCACTCAGAGACAAAACCCACGGGCACACAACTCATTTGTGTTATGACATACACACGCCGCACATCACATCTTGTCCCCAAAATGCAGCCACCACCCATGCAGCTCCGAAAATCCCCTCCACGTGGATTCTCATGGTCATTCTCTCATCTTTGTCTGTCATTCATACAGCCCAAACGCTTGCACCCAGTGTCAATGATTAGCATATGCACAATGCACCTACACAACCCAAATCAGTCACTTGACACGTTAGCTTCCACACAACACAGGCCAAATTCCTTCCGCACACAACTCCCTTCTACAGCACGCTGCTGTTCAGCCAACCAATTACTGTTGCACATGCAATCGTGCTTTCACACACACACACACACACACACACACACACACACACACACGACGGT